ACGAGTGACTGAGATCAGTGTGTTGATGTTCGGAGCGAGTTCGCTCAAGTTAATTAAATGGGATTACAAGACTGCAACGAGAGACCGGAACATGGAACGTTCATCGGTAAGGTAAAACACTATCGAGCGATGCACACACGGTCATGTGGTCCAGATAGAAATAATTTCCTTGGGGGTAGACTTTATCTTGCTATAGTCTGTTACCGTAAATTATTTCCCATCCGCTTAGAAATTTCCTGGTTGTCATGTAGATAGCACAAGAACTACAATTTTCTCTCTAGTTTCAGTATTTCATTTTCTTCTTTTCGTATTTTTATTATATACATAAACAATATTTGCAATTTTTACATAAACAGAAATTTATTTTTATTTACAATAGTAATAGTAATAATAATAATAATTCCATTTTCATTTTTTATTCATGTTTTTTTTTGGTAAGAAAACTAATTTTACTAAAATTAAGATATCAGGGCTCGAACTAGATCTGTAAATACCGAAAAGGTCCGTAAATTTGCTTCAAGTTTGTGAAAGTCCGTTTTTTTCAAAAAAAAGGTCCGTAAAGTTTGTAATTTGATTGAGAAAAGACGAAAAGTTCGTAAATTGTACGATATAATTTGGAGAATTTTAGAGAAATTACAAATGATTGCAGAAATTCAGTTATTTTCGAAAGTAATAAAATTCTTCGCAAAAATTCAATTATTTTCAAAATTTTTTTAAAATTCTCGTCAAAATTTCAATTATTTTTTGAAAATAATAAAATTATTCTCTGAAATTCAATTATTTTCAAAAATTTTAATAAAATTCTTGGCGAAATTTCAATTATTTTCAAAAATTTTAATAAAATTCATGGCAAAATTTCAATTATTTTCAAAAATTTTAATAAAATTCTTGGCAAAATTTGAATTATTTTCAAAAATATTCCTCAATTCAATGATTTTTAATATCTACTATTTTAATAAAATTTTCCATAAGAATTCAATTATTTAAAAAAAATTTAGTAAAATTCTACGCAAATCTTTTAATTATTTTCGTAAAATAATTAAAATTTCACAGGAATTCAATTATTTACGAAATTTTTTTTAAATATCTTCGTAATCATTCAATTATTTTCATAAATAACACAATTTTTACAGGGATGCAATTATTTTTTTAAATAATAAAATTCCTTTTAGGAATTCAATTATTTACATAAATAATAAAATTCATTGCAGAATTTAAATTATTTTTAATACAATTTTAATCGATTTTCTGGAAAAATGTATTTGTTCTTAAAAATTTTATTAGAATTCGTCAAAAGAATTCAATTATTTAGAAATTTATTGGTAAAATTCTTTATGAGAATTCAATTTTAAGAAACAAGCAATTATTCAATAAATTGTTTTTTTTATTAAAATAATTAAATTCCAGTAGAATTAGCTACTAAAAATTGATTTAAAAATATATTTGAATTGAAATTTTAGATTATAATTGAATATTAAAAGCATTAGAGCGTGAATTTTTAGAAATAATTGAATTTTGAAAAAGTTTCAAAATTAAAATCTTTAAAAATCTGAATTTTTCATATTTTTAACTAACAAATCTGTGGAATTAATTTTTTTGATAAAGTTTAATTGCGGACTTTTTTAAAAAAATTATTTGAAGTTTTTATTTTATAATTTATATTTAATTGATGAAATTATGTTTAATTGAAATTTTGTAAAATTGAATTGTAAACAAATGAATTTTTGAAAATTCTCAAAGAACTTTTTCAAAAATTATTAAAAATTATGCATTTATAGAAGAATTTTAGTTAAAAACACGAAAAAAATTTAATTTTGAAAAAGTTACTAAAATATTACAGAAATTAAATTATTTTGAAGAGTAATAAATAATATTCTTCGCAAAAATTAAATATTGCTCAAAAATAATAAAATATTCTTCTGAAGAATTCAATTATTTACACAAATAATAAAACTGATCGCAGAATTTCAGTGATTTTTAATACAATTTTAAGTGGATTTATCGAAAAATATAATTATTCTGAAAATTTTTTATTTTCAAATATATATTTAATTGAAGACTTTCCGAATAATTGAAATTTTGTAAAATTGAATTGTAAACAAATGAATTAGAAAATTTACAAAGAAATTTTTGAAAAATTATTAAAAATAATGGATTTATAGAAGAATTTCAGTTAAAAACACGAAAAAGAATTTAATTTTGGAAATGTTACAAATTATTGCAAAAATTCAATAATTTTTAACAGTAATAATATTCGTCGCAAAAATTAAATATTGTTCAGAAATAATAAAATTCTTCTTAGGAATTGAATTATTTTCACAAATAATAAAACTCATTGCAGAATTTCAATTATTTTTAATACAATTTTAATCGAATTTCTCGAAAAATGTAATTATTCTTAAAAATTTTATTAAAATCCGTGAAAAGAATTCAATTATTTAAAAATTTATTGATAAAATTCTTTATGAGAATTCAATTTTAAGAAACATTCAATTATTCAATAAATTATTTATTTTTGTATTTAAATAATTGAATTCTCGTAGAAGTTTCTAATAAAAATTGATTAAATAATTAATTTCAGTTAAAATTTCAGATAATAATTAAATATTAAAAGCAATATAGCGTAAATTTTTAGAAATAATTGAATTTTGAAATTAATTTTTTTGAAAAAGTTAACATTTTTTTTTATGTTATTTTAAGTTTTTATTTTGCAATATATATTTAAATGAAGAATTTACGAATAATTGAAATTTCGTAATCGTAACATTAAATATTGCATAAACAAATGGATTTGAAAATTGTCAAAGAAGTTTTTCGAAAATTATTAAAAATTAATATATATAATCGATTTAAAGAAGAATTTTAGTTACAAATTCTTGAAAGTAATAATTGAATTGATAATGATTTTATCACTTGGTCATCTTTACAGTACCGTCCGCAATTGTCAGTCCACCCATTTTTAAAGGAATGACAAAAATTTTTTAACATAAAATTCATGTAAACTAAAATTTTTTTTGGTTTATATTTTGAAAGACGATAAAATTTTGAAAAGAATAAGACCTTACAGAAGTCATTTGGCCAAAATTTGTAGAAGATATTCCTAAAAATCGTCATTTTCAATGTTTTACAAAAATTTAAATAACTTCTAAAATAATGAACGCTTTTTAATAATCTTAGGCTTATTTTAAAGGTCTTTTTCTACGGAATAATAATTACTTATAGGCATTAACCTGTCATTTTTAACTTGGAATAAGCATGACGTCAAAATTGGACAAAAAAATTGGAAAAATTTAAAATCAATTTTTTGTACTAAAAACTATTCTAGAACATATATAAAACATGATATGGTGTAGATTTTTCAAGAAAATTTAATAAAAATATATGTTTGAATTTCAAAAATTATTTTTCTTTTCATAATATTATTTCAAATTTTTTGAATTTTTTTGTCCAACTTTGACGTCATGCTTATTCCAAGTTAAAAATGACAGGTTAATGCCTATAAGAAATTCTTATTCTGTAGAAAATGGTCTTCAAAATAAGCCTAAGATTATTAAAAAGCGTTCATTATTTTAGAAGTTATTCAAATTTTTGTAAAACATTGAAAATGACGATTTTTAAGAATATCTTCTACAAATTTTGGCCAAATGACTTCTGTAAGGTCTTATTCTTTTCAAAATTTTATCGTCTTTCAAAATATAAACCAAAAAAAATTTTACTTTTCATGAATTTTATGTTAAAAAATTTTTGTCATTCCTTTGAAAATGGGTGGACTGACAATTTCGGACGGTACTGTAATTATTATAAAACATGAAGAAATCGATGACTCCGAGTCGAAGACTCGGAGTTATCGTTATCTTCATGTTTAGTTATGAAAAATATTTATAGTTTTGAGTAAAATGTTCTTTTATTTGACTCGGGCTGGTTATATTTTTGTCAGTAATTGGTCCGTAATTTTTCATTTTTGGTTCATAAAGTCCGTATTTTTAAATACTTTCACTGTTTCGAGCCCTGAGATATAACAATAAAATTATTTTGGTAGTTATTTGCAAATAACTTTATAGAAATTAATCTGAATGAAAATTAGAAGTCGACTGAGAACATGATCATTACAAATTGATAACTGGATGATTTTGAAATAAATTTTTTATTCTCGAGATTTATTTCTCTCATTCATGTATATAAAAATAAAAAGGAAATAAAGAAGAAGTCGAAGAGACTGTCTTTCTTTTTTATCGACGTGGTCAGGCCAATTTGGAGCTAATTGAAGTGGGAAGCTTCTTCGAATCGCATCGACAGATTCGGAGAAGACGAGAGAACATCTTTTTATATTATTCTTATTTGATGTTTGTTGCTTCTGGACATGAAATTGAAGGAAGGGGCCCTTGCGCCGAGAAACCGTATAGCTTCCTTTCTAAATTAATTTTTGTGAGACGTATATTGTCACGTCCACAGATTCATTAACGCTCATCACGTTCAAAAAGACTTGGCCACTTCTCTGACGTCTCGCACTGGAATGTCGGCAAAGCAATTTGTTACTGAAATGCTGTTGTAATTAACTTAAGACACACGATTATTTAATACAAGGACTTGTCTATTCTCTGTAAATAGCTATAAATTTTCATGGAATTACGATTTCTCATATACTCTAGTATAGAAGTTTTCGTTCTAATTATTTAATTAAATCACTGATACTCAATGTTTACTTATTTCTTAATTGAAACAGTACTAATGGCAGTAATAAGTTTCTCATTGAAAAATATCTTCTTTTTTCTTACGAAAAATTTTTCACTTTTAATGAGAAAAATATTTATACATTTTATACATTTTATTATTGTATTATTTTTCATTTTATATATTATTACTATTAATCACTTGTATATTATTAATTTTGTGCCTTTATTATGACATTATTTATTTATTAAATTACAATTTGACGAAAAAAAATTTCTTTCTAATTTTGTGGGAAAAAAATTATTAAATATATTTATTTTTTGTTGCAGCATGGAAGTACAGAATCTTGTGACAAAACTGCCAATTGTAATGTACATTCGTGGGCTTCCGGTTTCGAGAAACTATTGGGAGATCCGAAAGGATTGCAGACTTTCGCTGTAAGTACCGGTTGTCAACATAAACTTTTACGATTTGTTGCATTATCCATTGAAATACGAATCACGCTTGATTTTACAATCGTCAAGTATTTTCCACGAAGAGAGAATGAATAATTCCGAATGGATTTTTTGAAATTATTCATTTAAACTCATTATTCATTCATTATTTTCAGTAAAAAATTTTATTATAGTCTGGAAATAAAAGTTTTGTTTTGAAAATAAATTTACGCAGAAAGAAAAATGCTTTTGTAAAAGATAATGTTTATTTGGTTGTGAATGCAGTATTTTAGGTATTAAAAAATTAATTTTTTTTATCACTTTGCAGGAATTTCTGAAGAAAGAATTTAGTCATGAAAATATCTACTTTTGGGCAGCCTGCGAAAGATACACGGATACCGAAGACGTCGCTAGTCGTCGGAGATTAGCACGGCAAATATATCAGCGTCATTTATCAGCAACCGCTGCAGAACCTGTTAATGTTGACAGTCATGCAGCTGGACAAATCACTCAAGAACTCCTTAACACAGCTCCTGCTGATCTCTTCATGCAGGTATGTTATTACATTTAATTGATATCAATTTACCTTCAATTTAAAGGATATTTCCTGCATTGAATTTCAGCGTGAAAGTAAATTGATCTGGCATCGTTTTCCAAGAAAGTCTTTTCAAACTTATTATTTCCATTAGGTGTATCAAATATTTATTTTAGTACTTTAAAAAAAAATTATTCAGTCATTTATTTGTTATTATTACTTATTGTTATTATCAAAGTTTTCAAAGAATTTTCCTTTCGTTTTAGAAGAAGTACTTCCGATGCTTCATTTTATTCTTTAAAGTGTAATAAGTTTTTATTATTTAACAAATATTATTGTTTGTAAATATGTATTTTTTCAACTTGAATTATTTCAGGCACAGAAACAAGTATTCAATCTAATGAAGTTTGATAGTTATCCAAGGTTTTTGAGATCAGATCTGTATCGCAGATGTTTAGAAACTGGAAACAGTGTTGTCGGTACTGAAGATCGGGATTTAAGTTTAACGAGTTCTCCAAGTGTGAAATTAAAGAAAAGTCATTCCGACGCTGAAGATCGATGTCGGAAATCAATTCTTCCTTGGCACAGAAAAAATAGGTATGTAGAATAGTTTTGAAAATTTTCTGAAATTTTCTATATAATATTAATAATAATCGACAATCATTGAATTCTTGCAAAGAATTTTATAAAAGTTTTTAAAAATTCTAATTAAATTATTTTTCGAAGATTTTCTTAATAATTTTAATTCAAAATTTTTAAAAGTAATTGAATTTTATAAAAAATTTCTTTCAAGTTTTTAAATAATTAAATTCTTCTCAGAATTTTATTAGAATTTGTTTAAATAATTTAATTCATTTAAGACATTTTATTCAAATATTGAAAATAATTGAATTCTTTCAAAGAATAATTACTATTAATGGTTTTGACAATAATTTAATTCTTCAAAAAAATTTCTCTAATTTTTTTAATATAACCGATTTTGTTAGTAGTTGTAATTAATAATTTTAGAATTACATTTTATTAAAATTATTTATAGAAAATTAAATTCTTGGCAAAATTTCAATTATTTTTAGAAATAATTAAATTCTTCTCCGAAATTCAATTATTTTCGAAAATTTTAATAAAATTCGTGACAAAATTTCAATTATTTTCAAAAATATTTATCAATTCAATGATTTTTAATATTTACTATTTAAATAAAATTTTCCAAAAGAAGTCAATTATTTAGAAAAAATTAATAAAATTCTACGCAAACCTTCAATTATTTTTAAAAAATAATAAAAATTTCACAGGAATTCAATTATTTACAAATTTCTTCTCAATCATTCAATTATTTTCATAAATAAATAATAAAATTTTTACAGGGATTCAATTATTTTTGTAAATAAAAAAATTCCTTTTAGGAATGCAATTATTTTTATAAATAATAAAACTCATTTGCAGAATTTCAATTATTTTTAATACAATTTTAATCGAATTCCTTGAAAAATGTAATTACTCTTAAAAATGTTAGTAAAATTCGTCAAAAGAATCCAATTATTTAAAAATTTATTGATAAAATTCTTTATGAGTTACAAATTATTGTATTGTTCCAAAGTAATAAAATTCTTCTTAAGGATTCAATTATTTTCATAAATAATAAAACTTTTTTCACTCCTCATTTGCAGAATTTCAATTATTTTTAATACAATTTTAATCGAATTCCTTGAAAAATGTAATTTTATTAAAATTCGACAAAAAATTAAATTATTTCAAAATTTGTTGATAAAATTCTTTATGAGAATTCAATTATTTAATAAATTATTTATTTTTGTATTTAAATAATTGAATTCTAGTAGAATTTTCTAATAAAAATTGATTTAAAAAAGAATTTCAGTTATAATTTTAGATAATTGAATATTAAAAGCATTAGAGCTTGAATTTTTAGAAATAATTGAATTTTGAAAAGGTTTCATATTAAAATCTTTGAAAATTTTAATTTTCACACTTTTAACTAACAATTCTGTAGAAGAATTAATTTTTTTGAAAAAGTTTATTTCAATTTTACTTGAATGAAATTACTTTTTTGAAGTTTTTATTTTGTAATATATATTTAATTGAAGAATTTCAATTATTTTTAATACAATTTTAATGAAATTCCTCAAAAAATGTAATTATTCTTAAAATTTTTATTAAAATTCGTCGAAAGAAAGTCAATTATTTAAAAATTCGTGAATAAAATTCTTTACAAGAATTAATTTTTAAGAAACATTTAATTATGCGCAATTAATAATTTACTTTTGTATTTAAATAATTGAATTCTCGTAGAATTTTCTATTAAAAATTGATTAAAAAATTAATTTCAGTTAAAATTTTAGATAATAATTGAATATTAAAAGCAATATAGCGTGAATTTTGAGAAATTATTGAATTTTGTAATTAATTTTTTTGAAAAAGTTAAATTGAATTTTTTTAAAAATTATTTTAAGTTTTTATTTTCTTATATATAATGATTTTATCACTCGGTCATGTTTTATAGTTGTGAAAAATTTATTTTATATTTTTCAATAAAATGTCCTTTTTTTATTTTTTTAAAATTTTTTTTCGTTATATTTTTGTCCGTATATGGTACGTAATTTTTTATTTTTGATTCGTTAAAAATTTTGTAATTTGCATAATATTAATAAATAATTGAATATTATGTTTAGCGCGCTTGCGCACGTAATTATTTATAATTCTGAATTTTTAAAAGTTTTATGTTTAAATTATTGAACTTGATGGACTGGAAATAATATTTAATTTAAATTTAATTGATTTATACGTCTATAAAATTGAATTTGTGATTGAAAGAAATATTGTGTGTTTCGTTTCGAGAACGAATTCGAGAGGAGGAGAAAAAATGAAAGTGAACTCTCCGGTTTAAAATGGTGATAATTGTTATTTTAGATCAAAGTCGAAGGACCGAGGAGAATCAGAATACGTTCAGACCCCTAGTCGTAGTGAGACTATATACAAGAGTTTTACAACTATTAAAAGGGAAGCGGAGGGTAATAACAATGAGGACAGTATATCTATATCCAGCAGTAGATCGTCATTAGCGTCATGGGATCTGGCATTGAGGCAATCATTTAACAAGCATGTAAGCCCTTATACAATGATCATTCATCCTCGCTTTTATTGACGCGATACTCGATTCATTTTTTCTTTTTTATATCATCATACAAATTAGTCATCATTTTTTCAATATTATTTTCAAAATTCAAGTCTTTTCTAACCAAAGTCTTTTCTTTTTTTTCATTTTATTCAAAAATTTTATTTATCATAATAAAAGTTAAATTTTGGAACGTTTTAGAAGCAAAAGAGATTATTTGTAAAATATTCAATAATTGATGGTATTTAATTCATTGAAATTAGAATCATCCATTGATATTTTCTACCATGAATTTTAACTAACAAGAAAATAATATCTTTCATCTGTTAAATATTTTTTTAATTTAATAATAATTATTTAACTTTATTATTCAAATTTAAATAGTTTCAAACACTATTTTTTCAATTTATTATTTCAATTAATGATTTAGAAAGTGTCAATTTTAGTGTTAATATCAGTAAAATAATTTATAATTAATTCTAAAAGTCGATAAATAAAATTAATTTTAATTAGCACTGACTTGAATTATTTTTTTAGTTGTTATTACATTAAATTAATATATCACTCAAGGAAAGATAATTAAAATTAACTACACTTGCAATTAGTGATAAGATGATGATTACTTGCAAGTGTTTTTATTGAATAGTGATATTATTTTTATAGTGATTATTATAATATAACATTCAATTCAAATGAAAGATAATAATGAATGAATCTCTTTTGTTTTATAAATGTAACAACCTTAGTTTCATAAAATTTTTTCTAACATAAATATTAATTATCAGCGGAAGTTATGAATGTTTGCTTATCAACAGCTGTTTATTTCCTGATAAATTTGAACTTCTGGCTATGAGACTTGACAGTACCAGACATCACAATCTTCCTTTATTTACCATGTTCAAAAAATTTTTCTTTATTCTTTTTTACACCTTCACTATCAACTTTTAAAGGTTGAATATCAAATGTACATTAAAATATTGAATTAAATATTAAATTATTGAATATTTCATTTTCTCAAAAAGAAATAATTCATTAATTTACGAAATAAATAATTTAATTTGAAAATAAGAAAATTGAGATTGAAGCAAAACTTGAGTTATTTGGAATTAAAAATAACGAGATTCCGATTGATATGCGAAAATTTTGCGATGCAGAACTAGGGGTGAAATTTTATATTATTATTATTTTATTGTGATTATTTTTTATTGTGAAAATCGAGTGTCTCGTGAATAAGAGTTTATACAGTTTTTCTATTTTCAAAAATTCGGAAAGAATGATGAATACTGAAAGTGTGTAGAAAACATTGAAAGAAAGAAAAAACGAGGGTGGCCACATATCAGTAAAGTCAGTAAAGTCAGGGAAATGTCAGGAAAACAAATTTTTGTTAGGAAAATTTAGAAAATTGAGATTTTTTTCGACTTATTTTCAAAAATTTACACTTTTTCGACTTTTTTTCCAAATATTGCAAAAAAATATCATATTTTTTAGTATTAAATGTAACTCATTTTGATTTTTATAGTGCAAAAAATAACTATAAACAAATCTTTCAAAAATTATTTTCGAATCATTTTTCTATTTAAATTTTCAAAATATACATTTAAAAAGATTTTTAATAATTGAAATTTTGTAAAATTTAATTTAAAAAAATTAATTTTTTTAAAGTATTTTGTTAGAATTTTTGAAAGATTGGGGTTTTTATAAAACGAATTTTCTAATTATTTGTTTTCTAAAAATTTGTTTTCTAACAAAGGTGAATTTCTAAAAAACTTTTTTCTAATGAAAGTGATTTTATAATTTTCTTTCTTCAAATAAAGATCATTTTCTAAAAATTTCTTTTTCTAATAAAGGTAATTTTCAAAAAAATTTTGTTCTAACACTATTCAATTTTTGAAATAACGAATTATGAATGATTACAAAAAAAAAATTTACGAAAATTTTTTAATTCTTTAAAAAAAGTACTTGAGATTTCTTTAAAAAATTATAATAAAAAATAGAAATTATGCAAATTTTTTTAACAAAATTTTTAAATAATCTAGTTAAAAATATTGTAAAATAACAAATAGAAATTATAGGGATTCTTTTCCTAAGAATATTGAAAATTTTCTAAAAAAAATGTTTTATAAATAAATTAATTTTGGAAATTTTTGTATAAAAATGATGCAGATTATTATTTTTTTTTCAAAGAAGAACAGAATTTTGTTAACAAATAGTGATAAGAAATTGTAATTTTCTACCATTTTTTCTACTTTCTCAAAAAAAACTTATAATTTTGTAAACAAAATTGTGATTGAGAAAATAGAAAATATGCAAAATAGTTTCTATTTCTTAATCTTAATTTTTCAACAATTTTCTAACTTTTATCAAAATTATGGAATTTTACAAATTTTAAGAAAATAAATAATAGAAATCATAACTTTTTAGAAAAACTTTTTTAGAAATCAAAACTTGTTAGAAAAACCTTTTTTAGAAAATAGATTTCATTAGAATTTTTTTTTTTTTTTTTTTGACAAAAAGGATTAGAAAATATTTTGTAGAAAAAGTGACCACCTACCTTTTTGAAAATCAACTTTTGAAAAATTTTAATTGCAAATTTTCAAAATAATTGAAGTATCAAAAGTTTTAATACAAAATCTTTAAACGTAAAATTTTTAATAAAATTTCTTCAAAAAATTGAATTATTTAAATAGATAACAAAATTCTTTGTAACAAATTTTTTTTCAAAAAGAATTTTTTTTCAAAGAATTTTTCAAAAATTATTTTTAAAAAATTGATCTAAAGAAGAATTTTAGTTGAAAATTCTAGAAATGTATAATCGTAATGATGAAAATAATTTTTGAAGAAGTTACAGTAACAAAGTAGCAAGTTTTAATTCTTATAAGTTATTGAATTTGAAATTTTTAATTTCTATATGAAAAAATAATAATGATTAAATATTTATTTAAAAATCAAGTTATTGATATTTTCGAATAATTTTCGTATTAAAAACTTGGAAAAATTCCGTTTTTTAATCTGGAAAACCTGGAAAAGTCAGGGAATTTGAAAAGAGCAAAAGCGTGTCAACCCTGTATTTAATTAAAATTCATTAAAAAATTAATTAAGTTTTTTTAAATAATAGAAAAACTCTTTTAAAAAATTCAATTTTTGTCGAAAAATTACATTAAAATATTTTTAAACACTACTTAATTCTTAGAGTTTTTTTTAAATAATTATTTAGCATTTTTAATTATTTTCGAATAAAGGGAATAAAAATTAACTTTTTTAGACTAATTAAAATTTCGGAGTAATCATGCTCATATTTATGATTAAAATTCTTCAAAAATTTGATTATTTTTTGAAAATATACCTTAATAAACTTAAGAAAAAACATGAACAGTTACAATTATAAAAAATTGAATTTTCGTATTTAAATAATTTAATTCTCGAAGAACTTTCGGAAAAATATTCAAAATAATTGATTTAGAGATGAAGTTTAGTTGAAAATTGTAGAAAATAATTGAATTCTTTTCACAGAAAAATATGAAAGTTTACGGAAAATGAGTAAAATTTATGAAATTTAATAATTTCTAAAAATTACAATTATTGTAATTTTTAGAAATTATTAAATTTCATAAATTTTACTCATTTTCGGTAATCTTTCATATTTTTCTGTGAAAAGAATTTTGTCAGGGAAAATAATTTTAATATCAGTAAATTAATTTTATTGTCAGTGAAATGTCAGGGAAATTGATAAACTGAAGCTTGTGACCACCCTAAAAAACTAATTTTTTTTAATCCTTTTTTTTCTCTCTTTTAATAAAATTATTAAAGTAAATTAGAAAAAAATCTTGAAATTATTAAAATTAAAAACTTTTTGAATGAAAGGGTTCGATGATAATTTTTTTCTGATCGATTGTATGTGAATTGTAGTCTGTGTCGTCCTATGAAGGGCACTTGAACGAAACGAAAGAGATTCACACGAAATGCACTGGTTTGTGCCGAGTAATTTTACCCGATGGTTCCACAACTGTTGTGCCTACTTGCCAAACGGAGACGATTAAAGAAGTGGTGACTCGTTTACTCGATAAGCGAGCACTGCGATTTTCTAATTACGATGTACTAGTACTTGCCACAGATGAGGTTAGTGTCACTTTCTGTACATCTGGTGCAAGCTGTAAAAAAAAATCTGTGACTAATTTGCAAACACCTATCGACACTTATATAGAGATCGAATTTTTTTTTTAAATTGTATAATTTGAATAACAATTTTTTTTCTCGGTCGTATGCGCACGCTTCAAAAAAAAAAACGATTGTCGTCACGATAATCAAAATTTGTACACCGCATTTTGCATTTCAAATCCAAGAAATGTGCATGACAGTCACTTCACTCGACTAACAAAAGGAATTATTGTTATTATTTCATAAGATGCAATTTCTTCGTTTTGAAAATATTTATTTTTTATTTTCTAAAAATTCGGAAATTGTAGATTGTAGAAGGGGATTAGAAATTAATAATTAGCGAATTAGAAATTAATATTTTATGAATTAGAAATTCTTAATGGATTAGAAGAGAACTTATGATTAAATATTAATATTGATTAGAAGGGAATCGTTTAATATATCACAACAATGAAAGGTGCTATAATTTTCTAATCTTAATGGACGAATTAATTCCAAGGATGCACGTGATAAAATGTAGTATTTTTTTTTATGGTGATGGATGTATAATTTTTATCTTTTTAATTTCAGAATTTAACACAACTTCAGGAGTAATGGCTTTTTGCTTTAGAAATATGCTTCATAAAAATAATAAAAAAAATCAATTATAAATAAGAGTGATTTAAAAAAAAAATTGTAATTCTTTGTATTTTTTCAGATAATTAATCTAAAGTATCCGTCGACTGTGTTATCGGGACAAGAAGTTGAGGTTGTACCGTCGAAAGTATTGAAAGTTGATTTACCATCTCGTAGAATAATAACTGTCGTTGCCCATAAAGGACGAACATTGAGAGAGGTATTGAGACCTCTTCTTAACAAATATGGTTTTAAATTGGAATTGATTACAATTTGGGGTGAGGGACATCCCCTTTCGGTAGACACACCTGCAATAAATGCGCCTACAAGACTTGTCCTCACATCCAATAATGAAGGTAATTTAAAAGTAATTTATTTCGTCTAGTCGCTGAATATAATCCTTCATTTACCTGACAATACACCAGTAATGGCTAATTAGTTTTTAAGTACAGGGAAAATTTAATATTGAAAGTCAGAAAATATTATTGGTTTTCCCTTGAATTTAGAATCTTTTGAAAATATCTCAATGAAATAATCAATTAGAAGGTCAATATCGAAAAATAGAAAATTATATTATAATGTTGAACAAGTTTTTAAAAATTGGTAAATTTAGTTTTCAAAGAATGGAGAGAAATTCAGATTTAATATAATAAGGAATTTACAAATCGAACAATGACTAAATAAAAAGAAATTTAAATACCTAAATAAGATAAATAATTTATAATAATTTTTTATAATAATTTTTTGAAAAAGTTCTTTGAGAATTTTTAAATACATTTGTTTACATTATTCAATTTTACGAAATTTCAATTATTCAGAAATTCTTCAAAGAATTTAATTTGAAACCTTTTCAAAATTCAATTATTTCTTTAAATTCATCCTGTAATGAATTATTCGGAATTATTAATAATTTTAATATTCAAATATTATTTGAATATTTGAATAATTTGAATAATAAATATTAAAATATAAAATTTTAACTGAAATTCATATTTAAATCAATTTTTATTAGAAAATTCTGCTAGAATTCAATGATTTTAATGCAAAAATAAATAATTTATTGATTAATTAAATATTTCTTAAAATTGAATTCTCATAAAGAATATTATCAAAACATTTTTAAATAATTGATTTCTTTTGACGATTTTTAATAAAATTGTTAAGAGAAATTACATTTTTCGAGGAATTCGGTTAAAAAAAATATTAAAAATAATTGAAATTCTACAATGAGTTTTATTTATGAAAATAATTGAATTCCTGAAAAAAATTTTAATATTTATGAAAATAATTCAAACTATGTAAAAAATATAATTATTTATTGAAAATAATTAAATTATTGCGAAGAAATTTATAAAAAAATTTGTAAATATTAGGATTCATATGAAATTGAGAAAAATTTTTGAAAATAATTGAAATTTTGACAAAAAAAACTTAAATAGTTTATGCAATTTGTTTCTCAAACTAAAGAAAAAATTCAGAAGTATAATAGTTACAGTTGCAATTTTTAGTAATAATCAATTATTTTATCATTTATTTTTGTATTCAAATAATTGAATTCTCGTTTACCTTTTATATAAGAATTGATTTAAAAAAGAATTCCAGTTAAAATTTTAAAAAATATTTTAAGAATTGGAAGAATTGCAGTTCTATTTTTGAAAAATAATTAAATTTCAAATGGTTTTACATTGAAAGTATTTTGAAATTTTATTTCCTGGTGGGCAAATAGATAACAAACAATTAACAATCAAATTCAAATATTTATCAAACAATTTTATTTAGAAATTCTGAAGAAATGAGGTTTTTTAAAAAATCGTGTAATTAAAATTTTTTGAAAACAGTTAAATTCCCGAAAATAATTTTAAAAAATCGGAATAATAGGAAATTTTTTCAAATTATAATAAAATAAATTTTATAAATTTTATTTTCAAAGAATTTTATTTTCTTACTTTAAAAAATTATTTTCAAATATTGTATTTTTGAATAATTGTCATTAAAAGTTTGGAAAATAATTCAATTTCATACAAATTTTTGTATTTGAATAATTCAAATCAAAATCAAAATAATCGTTGAATTCTATAATAAGAATTGATTTGAAAAATAATTGAATATTAGAAGTAAATATTATCATAAAATAATTGAAATTTTGAAAAATTTAATTGAAAATAATTGATTTTTTCAAGTATTTTATTATAAATTTTGAAAATCAACTTTTGAAGAATTTCAATTTGTAAAATTTTGAAAATAATTTACATAATTCTTAAAAATTTGAAAAATTGAAATTAAAATTTTTTTGAATAAAATTAAATTCCCGAAAATAATTTTAAAAATTGAAACAATTAAAAAGTTTTGTGAAATTTCATTCAAATTGTAATTCAAATTTTTTTGAATAAAATTAAATTCTCGAAAATAATTTTAAAAATTAAAACAATTAAAAAGTTTTGTGAAATTTCATTCAAATTGTAATTCAAATTTTTTTGAATAAAATTAAATTCTCGAAAATAATTTTAAAAATTGAAACAATTAAAAGTTTTGTGAAATTTCATTGCAATAAATTTTATATATGAAATTTAAATAAATAAATTTTAATGAAAATTAGTAAAACTAAAAATGAATTTTATTATCAAAATTATATTTTCAATTTAAAGACACTGGTGCCTAACCAAAATGTTTTATTTACTCGAAAAATTCCAAAAAACCTTTAAATTTTCTGGTTGTGATAAACTTTAGTTAAAACCAAATATTGTGAATCCAAGAAATATTCTAATTTTGATTAATTTTTTACAATCGTTCTCTATACGGAGAGAAATCTGTTACTAAAAGCGCATGAGCGATCGTTACGTATAATACGTGAGTTACTGCAGAATCCATACTAATTTTCGTTCATGAAAAATGTGAATTATGAATCAGTAGAGTTTGTGCTCTTTCAGAAACACATTTCTTTCCGTGTATCTTGAAATTAAAATTTAGTGATTATGTGAGAAATATTAATTGAAAGTTCTTGGAATAGTAGAAAAAATTAAATTATGGAATTATCAATATTGGATATGTGAGAAATGTTAATTATTTAAATTTTTTGAAATAAGAAAATATGTATTTATTCGTATTTATCAATATTTGGAAATTTTGCTTTTCAAAATATTAATATTGTGACAAAAATAAATAAAATATTTTGTGAACAATATTAATATATGTCAAAAATCAATAAAATATTTTGTGAACAATATTAATATATGTCAAAAATCAATAAAATATTTTGTAAATAATATTAATATATGTCAAAAATCAATCAAATATTTTGTAAAAAATAAAAAGATTAGTAAAAAAAAGTCCAGAATCTTTTAATAAAAATTAATAAATTAAATTTTAAAAATGAAAATTTTTTTGTAATTATTTAGATATTAATAAAATAAAAAGATATATTAAAATTTAATTTCACTTACAGATATATTCCACGATGCACAGCCAAGAACTTCAGAAAAGGTCTCACAAGGTCAACCAACGCTGGACGAAATCACAAACAAAGTTTTCGAGGAACTGCTAGTTGGCAAGAGTACAAATAAATATCAATACAGTGAAGGCTCCTGTAAGGTAAATAATTCTCATTCATTAGTATCACAGTATCATTTCAAACATAAATAACGATTTCAAATGACAAAAAGAAATAGAAGTAAAATGTAAATTTCTATTTCTAGAACAACAAAAATTATTCTCAACGTATAAACAGTTTGTTGGCCCTGACAAGGGCCGATTGTTTTTTTCACCAAACTCTCCATTTAAGTTTTAAACTTTCAAGAAAGTTTAAATCTAGAACCAGTTTGAACAAAAAGTATTCTCAACGTAAAAAGAATTTTTTGGCCCTGAAAAGGGCCGATTTTTTAAAGCAGAAAATTTGTTTGCTTTTAATTCACAAACTCTTCTCTGGCTGGGGAAATTTCTTAACGTCACTCAAGAAATTTCCCAAACTCTCCATCCATTGGAGAATTGTTGGATCCGTTATTGGAGTCTCCACATTTTCCGTCTCACTTCGTTGATTTTGGTTTGAAGACGATGCTCGTCTTCTTTCCCGTCGAAGTTGACGCGATTGCCTTTCAATATGAAAGTCATACGCCGCAGTGGAAAGGGCAGACTGTAATAAAGCCCTTTTCCTCGGATTCGACTTTAGTTGCTGCCTCGTATGCCTCAATTTTTCGTTGAGAAGCTTTATCCAGTCCTTGGTTCTTCTCACAATTTTTGTCCCAACGATTTTTAATTCGCTGGGCTTGAACACTGTCTTGCACTTTCTTGCCATGATGTCCTCAAGTTTGCGAAAATGATTCTTGACTAGTGAAACTTATGGAAATTCATGCCTTTTATATACCTATCCCTTGGTGCAAACCCACTTTAAAACTCATTATCCCCCTCTCCGCTTCAATTTCTCCCAAGTGATGTTTGTAAAGGAAAAGTGAAAAACACTTTTCCAATACCGAAAATCAGAATTTATTTTGTTTTCTACAATTTCGACAAATATTAGTTAACAATATTTGTTATTTTCTTCTTGAAATAATAGTATTATTATTATTCATCTACAAATTAACAAAAAACAAATATTCTTCATTCAAATATTTGTTCTCATTCTCCCGAAAATTAGAAAATAATCCTCAACAAATTTTTACAATATTTATTTACTTATTTATTCAATTTAGATAAATTGAATAATTAACGGAGGATTATTTTTTTAGTCGGATGACCAGCGATCGGATAGTTCATCAATTCTTTCGAATAAATTCTTTATGAGAGATTCATCGAGTCATGGAAAGAAAAAAGGAAAATCAAAGAGCGTCAGTTCTAGTGATAAAGGAACTTGGAACGATTGTGGACAAGAGGAAAATACTCGTTCTTATCCGCCACTTATTGCCAAATGGAGAAATGGAGTTAAACTTCAGTTGCCAAGCAAGTTTGATGGCGACGGTAAGAAAAGTAAATTTTAATGAATTAATTTACAAAAATAAATACCAATTTTAATCTTCACTAGAATTTATTTAATACAATTTTTCTTTTTAGATTTGTACGAAGGCTTGAAAAGAGCACAAAGATCAAGACTTGAAGATCAAAGAGGGACGGAAATAAATTACGAATTACCGGATTTTTTAAAGGTAGGAAAAAAGATTGATTATTCAGGGCTCGAACTAGAACCGTAAATTCGATTTAATTCCGTAAAAGTCCGTTTTTTTCAAAAAAAGTCCGTAAAGTTTGTAATTTGATAGAAAAAGGACAAAAAGTTCGTAAATTGTACGATATAATTTGGATAAATTTAGAGAAATTAGAAATGATTGCAGAAATACAATTATTTTTAAAAGTAATCAAATTTCTTGCAAAAATTCAATTATGTTTAAAAATTTCTTTAAATTCTTGTCAAAATTTTAATTGTTTTTAGAAATAATAACATTATTTTCAAAAATTCAATTATTTTCCAAAATTTCAATAAAATTCTTGACAAAATTTCAATAATTTTCAAAAATTTTCCTCAATTCAATAATTTTTAATAATTTACTATTTTAATATAATTTTCCAAAAGAATTCAATTTTTTAAAACAAAATTTAATAAAATTCTACGCAAACCTTTAATTATTTTCATAAAATAATAAAAATTTTACAGGAATTCAATTAGTTACAAAATTTTTAAAAATTTCTTCGCAATCATTCAATTATTTTCGTAAATAATTCAATTTTTACAGTAATTCAATTATTTTTAAATTTTTTTAAATTTCTTCGCAATCATTCAATTATTTTCATAAATAATACAATTTTTTCAGCAATTCAATTATTTTCGTAAATAATAAAATTCTTTTTAGGAATTCAATTATTTTCAAAAATAATAAATCTCAATGCTGAATTTCAATCATTTTAAATACAATTTAATAGAATTCCTCAAATAGTGAAATTTTATTAAAATTCGACAAAAAATTCAACTATTTAAAAATTTGTTGATAAAATTCTGTATGAGAATTCAATTATTTAATAAATTATTTATTTTTGTATTTAAATAATTTAATTATAATTTTAGATAATAATTGAATATTAAAAGCATTAGAGCGTGAATTTTTATAAATAATTGAATTTTGAAAAGGTTTCATATTCAAATCTTCGAAATTTTTAATTTTACAAACTTTTAACTATCAATTCTGTGAAAGAATTAGTTTTTTTTGAAAAATTTTATTTCAAATTTACTTGAAATTAATTTTTTGAAGTTTTTATTTTTTAATATATATTCAATTGAAGAATTCCCGAATAATTAAAGTTTTGTAAAATTGAATTGTAAATAAATAAATTTGAAAATTCTCACTAAACTTTTTCAAAAATAATTAGTGGAAGAATTTATTTTATGGAAGAATTTTAGTTAAAAACACTTAAAAGAAATTTAATTTTGAAGAATTCACAAATTATTGCAGAAATTCAATTATTTTGAAGAGTAATAAAATTCTTTGCAGAAATTAAATTATTTTTAATACAACTTCAATCGAATTTCTCAAAAAATGTAATTATTCTTAAAAATTTTATTAAAATTCGTCGTAAGAATTCAATTATTTAAAGATTTGTTGATAAAATTATTAATGAGAATTCAATTTTAAGAAACATTTGTTTTTGTATTTAAATAATTGAATTCTCGTGGAATTTTTTAATAAGAATTGATTAAAAAATGGATTTCAGTTAAAATTTTAGATAATAATTGAAAAAGTTCAATTGAATTTTTTTTATATTATTTGAAGTTTTTATTTTCTAATATGTATTTAATTGAAAAATTTCAATTATTTTTTTAATACGACTTTAATCAAATTCCTCAAAAAATGCAATTCTTCATAAAAATTTTATTAAAATTCGTCAGAAGAATCCAATTATTTAAAAATTTGTTGACAAAATTGTTTATGAGAATTCTATTTTTAAAAACATTCAATTATTCAATAAATTGTTTTTTTGTATTTAAATAATTGAATTCTCGTAGAATTTTCTATTAAAAATTGATTTAAAAATTAATTTTAGTTAAAATTTCAGATAATTAAATATTAAAAGCTATATAGCGTGAATTGTTAGAAATAATTTAATTTTTAAATTAATTTTTTTGAAAATGTTTGTAGATTTTTTTTAATATTATTTAAAGTTTTTATTTTCAAAAATATATTTAATTGAAGAATTTCCGAATAATTTAAATTTCGTAAAATTGAATATTAAACAAATGAATTTGAAAATTCTCAACTTTTTCCCAAATTAATTGATTTAAAAAAGAATTTTAATTAAAAATTCTTGAAAATAATTGAAATGATGAAAATAATTTTGAAGAAGTACAATACAATAAAACATGAAGAAATCGATCGAGTCTTCGACTCGGAGTTATCGATATCTTCATATTTTATAGTTATGAAAAATTTTATTTATAGTTTTAAGTAAAATTTTTGGTCCCTAAAGTCAGTATTTTTTAAATACTTTCACTGGTTCGAGCCCTAATTAAGTTAATTAATAAAAATAGTTGTCAAAATTTTTTTTTCTGACAAAGAAAAATGAGAAACTAGCAGTTAATAGGTTTGGAATAATAGAAATAAATTTTTAAAAAATAGTTTGCTACAATCGTTGACAAAATTGAAAAGATTAAAAAAAATCATGATTTTATTAATTTTCCCCCAAGGTTTTTATATTTAACACAAGTAGAATCTGAAGGAAAATAAAAAAAATTACTTGAATAAAAAATCTTTTCCATTATTGCAATGATAATTTTCGTACAGAGATTGAGGTGGAACTAATTAAAAAAAAATTTGTTAATTCAATTTAACGTTCAGATTTAAATTAGAAAATTTACTTCTCAGAACAAGGAGAATGGGAAAATTCTGGACAGCAAAAAAATGCGGAAAGTACGCGGCACATCTGTAAATTACGATGGCCACACAAAGTTTTACGATTCCTCCGAGGAAAAGCAGAACTTGTCATGTCAGGATAATAATAAATTGCTAACAAATGGAAATACAGAATTAAGAGAATGCGGCAGCAATAGTTTCGACAATTCGGACAATTTGGATGGAACTCTCGTCGACATTGACCAAACCGTAATTGATAATAGTTCGCCGATAAAAATGCAAAATAATACATTTGGCGCAACTTTTGCGTCAATATCGCCGTCTAAATTGTCGAAACCACCGCCACTTCCGCCAAAGCCAAAAAATTTGCAAACAAGTATTTTAAAAAGCAATTATATCATGTCTTCCAGACCATTTCAGAGAATCGCTCAAATCAATCATGTTAATCCAATAATTGATTCTGAACAAAAAAATACAACTTAACGTATTCTTTTATAATATTTTTCTTAGATAATATGATTTTTAGACTGAACAAAAAATATTTTGATTACGAAAATATTTTATAATTGAATTTCTCTTAACTAAGAATCGAATATTAACTTGTGGAAAGTATTAATGACTTACGAGTATTAACAAAGTGATATATTGTATTTTTTATACAAACAGATATTTCGACTCTATTTAATAACTTAACAAAACAAAAAAATAAACAACGTGAGAGAAATAATTATTGATGAATTTATATATTGTGATACAAAAAAAAATTGGCAACTATTATCACAGTTTTTGAATTTTTCTTTTTTTTATTGAAGAAAGAATTTTGTGTAAAATTTTATAGAAAATTTGAGTAAAACTGGTTTTACTCATTTTAGTATTTCTTTTTCTTATTAAATAATTAGCAATAGATTTTTCTATTATACAAAGTTTTATCTCTGGGCTTCGAGTTATTTAAATATTTTAAATTATAATGACGACTTGTGCCTTACAATTTATTTTCTACTGGGAATAATATAAAAACAAATATCTAAGTTTTAGGGACCAACGAGAGTTATTTAATACTAACCGAATGTTATATTCCTGGTTGTACAGGAAAAAATTAATATGTTGTGAATAATAGTGAGGAAAAATTTACTTATATATATTTATCGACAATAATAAATTATATAAATCGCGTTTTTAAAAATCATGTCTTATTCATTTAAAGCTCCTCAAATTATTTATTTGAGAATGCAAGATTGAAATGAGTGATTTTTTATTTTTGTTTCTTCTTTAGTTGGAGAAATAAAATTTGCAATTTATTTTTAATTTTATTTTTTCAGTGATTTGAGAAAGAATGAATTGAGTTTTAAATTTACAAGAGAAAATGTTTATCATGGTTGCCACAGAGTCTGAAAAAAACCTGGAAATAGAATGGAATTTAAAAAAATTTCTGGAATTTCGCCTGTTTTTAAAGATTTCAAACAAATTTTAATTTAAAATTATTATTCAATGATTTTTATAAATAATAGCATTTTTTACAGGGATTCAATTATTTTCAAAAATTATATTAAAATTCTTGGCAGAATTTCAATTATTTTTAATACAATTTTAATGGAATTCCTCGAAAAATGAAATTATTCTTAAAAATTTTATTAAAATTCAGCAAAGAAATTCAAACATTTTAAAAACTTTTGCTACAATTTATTTATTACAATTTAAGTATTATTTTGAATACATTTTTAATTAAGTTTCTTCAAAAAATTGAATTATTTTAATAGATAATGAAATTCTTTGTAACAATAAAATTTTTTTCAAAATAATTTTCATAAAATTCTTCGTAGAAATTTAATAAATTTCAAAAATTTGTCAAAATTCAATTATTTTCAATGTCTACTATTTAAATAAAATTTCACAAAAGAATTCAATTATTTAAAAAGAAATTTTAATAAAATTCATCTCAGGAATTCAATTATTTTTAAAAGTATTCTAATTCTTCGCAGAAATCTAATAATGTTGAAAAATTTACAAAAATTCTTGTCGAAATTTCAATTATCTTTATAAAAAATAAAATTCCTCTCCGAAATTCAATTATTTTCAAAAATTATAATAAAATTCTTGGCAGAATTTCAATTATTTTTAATAGAATTTTCATCAAATTTCTCGAAAAATGAAATTATTCTTAAAAATTTTATTAAAATTTGTCAAGAGAATTAAATTATTTAAAAATTTTGTTGATAAAATTCTGTATGAAAATTCAATTTTAAGAAACATCCAGGTTAAAATTTTTTAATCTGGAAAACCTGAAAAAGTCAGAGAAATTGAAAAGAGCAAAAGCGTGGCAACCCTGTTTATGAATTTTGATTAAAAAGAAAAATTTATTCTTTATTTAACGTCAGAAAAGTGATGAAAATTTTACCACCAACAAAAATGAATGTTTGTTTAGAACTTGAAAATTTTCGGTTTTTAATTTTATAAAGAATTTAGAAATTTAATGGAAATCAAATCAGAAAAAATTTAATCTTTCTTTTAAGATTTTATTTTTGAAAAACTAACCAAAATTGTTAATATATTGCAAATTTTTCTTAAATATTTTTACTTTCTTAAATTTTATTTCTTACAATTGGATTTATTATTTGATATAACATTATTTATTTTGCTGTTCATAAATATGAATGATTGTTTATTTTCCCGATAGCATAAATTTTAAGAAAAATTAATAGTAATAATTTAATTAAAAGTAATTAAAAGTAATAATAATTTTAGTATTTTGGAAAATAATTTTCAATTGCATTTTTAAAAGTTTTTCAAAAATACTGCAATCTGATTTACTTCATTTAAATTTAGTAAATAAATATTTAATAATTATTAATCAACAGTTATTTAATTATTTAATAATTTATTTATTAATGATTATTTAATATTTTATTTATTTATTAATAATTATTTAATAATTTATTTATTTATTGTTATTTAATAATTTATTTATTTGATTAATAATTATTTAATAATTTACCTGATCAATAACTAATCGGTGAATAATTATAAAATAATTATGTAATTACTTTTTAATTAGTAGTCAGTTAATTATTTAATAATTGTTTTCTTATTTATTTTATAATTTGATAATAATTATTTAATAATCATTAAATAATTGAGAAGTCAGTAATTAATAGATAATTAAGTAATTAATATTTATCTAATATTAATTTGTCAATAATTATTTATTAATTAATTAACTAGTTAATAATTTAATAACTATTTTCAAATTATTCTATAACGACATGTGTAAACGATTGCACTTAATTAGTAGATAAATATATTTAGTAATTAATTTCTAATTTATAACTGCGCCAATTAAGATAACTAAAATTTAAGAAATTTTTTTAACCTTTTTAACTCAGAGAAGTTTCTAACCTCTTTATTAATACAGTTTTGAATCCTTGTCGAAAATAAAATTATCTATAAACTTTGGTAACTTTTTATAGTTGGAATTTTTTTTCAATTTTGGAGCAGGAAACTGTGAAAGTAAATTAACGTTTAATTTGACAGACAATGAGATTTTTAGTCTTTGCAAGTATTAGTTTTTTTTTATTATGAAAAGGAAAGAAATTACATTATTGAAATTTAAATATTAATTTCCCCCCGCTTTTTCATGTAGATAAAGATGGCGCTGTTATTTATTGTTTTTTTTTTTGGCGGTTAAAGCCCACTCATTCATGGCTTGGGGTATTTAATTCTTCATCAATAAGTCATTGACCGGAGGGGTACTGGACTTTCGATAGTTATATTATGTATTATGTATCAGTAATGATAAAGTAAATTTTAATGTTTTGACAAACCATCCTGGATTTCTACAGGAGACTGGCTAAATATATAAACTGTCGGTAAGAATAATATAATATTAAATATCAATTAGAAGTTCGTCTCTTGATGAAATTTGACAACGCCATTTAATTCCATTGTCCTTTTTTCTGGAAAGTTCGTTATTATTATTTCACGGTGTGTTTATTTCATTGAATGTAGAGAATTATGAGAAATTTAATATTATTTTAGATATAATTGTATTTCACTGTTCTTTTTTTTCATTGACGAATATAATTAATTTCATTAATTTTAATTATTGCAATGCTCAATGCACGTGGCGTAGGTTATGGTTTTTTTCATTTTTTTCTCGTAAGGAAAGCACATTTATCTCCTGGTAAGTTTCTAAAATTTAGAGAATAATTTCTGTTGATTTCTGTAATTCAGAAATTTCTAACCTATTCATTTATTTCAAACATTTCAATTGATTTTGTGTCAATTGACAATTAGTTTTGTGACGAAAAGGTGCATTAGGGCAAGATGAAAATGATAATTACTTTGATAGTGAAATCGTGTGATTCATTTGTTTTGATTGTTTAGTGAAATTCATATGGGAAGATACATCCGATTTTAATAATATGTCAAAAAAATATAAATAAAATACGAAATTAGATTTATGAGGATAGTAATCAGAAATCGATTTTTATCTTTTGAAAACTTTTTATGAATGAAAATTTTTACTTATTGTTTTGATTTTATCAGGTAATTATGAATTTATAATTAGATTTTACTATATTATGTTCAATAGGATTAATTATTATTTAATTGGGAGAGAAAAAAAATAAATTTCAACCAAAAGTAATTGAGGTTAGGAATGAAAAGTTAAAATAAAATTGCTTTTTGAAACTTTAACTTACTACTTTATTTTATTGGTTCTTTTTCAAATTAATTAATTAAAATAGGTTATAAATTAAATGCTTTTTAACAACAAAGTACTTATGAATTCAGAAAATTTTTGCCAAATTCGATAAAAAATATATAATTTGAAATTGTTTAAAGTCAAAATTCGGTAGTAAGATTTTTCGAAATAAAAATTTCAATTTAATAATTAATACTAATATATTATCACAAAATAATACGCTATTTTTAAGACTAATATCTGCAATAGGTATGTTTTAAAAAAGCTTACTTTGTAGAAAAAAATGTGCAGAAATGAAATAAATTGTACGATATAATTTGAATAAATTTAGAGAAATTACAAATGATTGCAGAAATTCAATTATTTTTAAAAGTAATAAAATTCAATTATGTTCAAAATTTTTTAAAAATTCTCGTCAAAATTTCAATTCTTTTTAGAAATAATAAAATTATTTTCCAAAATTCAATTATTCTCAAAAAATTTCATAAATTTCTTGGCGAAATTTCAATTATTTTCAAAAAATTTTTCTCAATTCAATGACTTTCATTATCTACTATTTTAATAAAATTTTCCAAAAGAATTTAATTTATTTAAAAACAATTTAATAAAATTCTACGCAAACCTTTAATTATTTTCCTAAAATAATAAAAATTTCACAAGAATTCAATATTATTTACAAATTTTTTATAAATTTCTTCGCAATCATTCAATTATTTCCATAAATAACAAAATTTTTACAGGGATACAATTATTTCGTGAATAATTAAATTCTTTTTAGAAATTTAATTATTTTCATAAATAATAAAACTCATCGCAGAATTTCAATTAATTTTAATACTTAATTTCAATGGAATTTCTCGAAAAAAGTAATTATTCTTAAAAATTTTATTAAAATTCGTCGAAAGAATTCAATTATTTAAAGATTTGTTGATAAAATTCTTTATGAGAATTCAATTTTAAAAAATATGCAATTACTGAATAAATAATTTATTTTTGTATTTAAATAATTGAATTCTCTGGAAATTTTCTAATAAAAATATTGATTAAAAAATGGATTTCACTTAAAATTTTAGATAATATTTGAAAAAGTTCAATTGGATTTTTTTTATATTATTTGAAGTTTTTATTTTCTAAATATATATTTATAATTGAAGAATTTCCGAATAATTAAAGTTTTGTGAAATTGAATTTTTAGGAATTCAATTATTTTCATAAATAATAAAACTCATCGCGGAATTTCAATTATTTTTAATACAACTTCAATCGAATTTCTCGAAAAATGTAATTATATTCTTAAAAATTTTATGTTCCGTAAAGTCCGTATTTTGAAATACTTTCACTGGTTCGAGACCTGAGTAAATAATCAAAAAAACGATTTTCTTTGATATTATGCAGTAAATATTTATTTTTAATAGTCAAATGAGAGTAGAGATTGAAATTTATTTTGAAAAAGGAAAAAAAATGGTAAATCGATTGCCATCTGTTCTAAATTTGTAATAAATATTTGATTTACTAGTAACTGCCCAAAAATCTCAAATTTCGAACGTGAAACAACTGTGGTGAGTAATTTAGGGTCGCATTACCCGTTCGTTCCTGAAATATGAGAGTGAGAAAAAGCTGTGAATATGAAATAGTTTTCTTACATATAGGCAAGGAGACAATTATTTTAGGGCCCTGCTGATAATTTTTTTGTTTATTAAAAATTTGCAAAATTAAATGGAAAAATTTACTGAATTTGCATACTTTTCTATAATTTATACAAAATTATTATTAAAATACTTCTCAGCAAAATGTATAAAAAATACTAAACTTTAAAAAAACTTATTTGAAATTTAGTAAATTTATATTAAAATTTAATTAATATTCTTGATATTTAAAAGTTTAAAATAAGTACTAAATTTCAAATAAGTTTTTTTCAAGTTTAGTATTTTTTATTTATTTTACTTTGTCGCACTTTTTCCCCAATTTGTGAAATACTTTTACAAAATTTAATAATTTATTCTCTCTTCGTGTAAAAAAAAAGTTATTTCGAAGATTAAAGAAATATCTAGTTAAATAAGTTCTAATTTAATAATATTAATTTTGTTATTTAGAATTTTATTTACATCTAATTTAATCAATTAATTTGAAATTAGTAAATAAAATTATTTTTTGTAATAGAAATACAAATAGAAAGTTTAAAAAAAATATTTAAGAAAATTTTTACTAGCTTGTTCAGTAATTTTAAGCAACAAAAAAATACAGATATTTTAAAAAGAAAAGTTAATAATTTAAAAAAATTTTAAAGTATAAAAATACAAAAGAATAATTTTAGAGACGTTCCTGGGGAGATATATTATAACACAGTCTGTGCACAATATTAACTGTTGACGGTTGGATGTGGGAGGTTCAGTTTGAATGTAAATTAAAAGTTTCTGTAATATTAATTTTTCTCGTAACATTATAATTTTCTGAAATTTTTGTATTTTTTCGTTTCGATTTGTTTGGCGACAATGTTAAGTATATTTAATTTATTAATTATTATTCAATAAATTACTAAGATACGTTAATAGTTGTAATTGTTAATTATTTTAATTAATATAATAATAATAATTAATGATAATTAATAATAGTAATAATTTCATAGTTATTTTCATTAAAAATAATTAATAATTATTAATTATCTTCATTATTAATTATTTTGATTAAAAATAATTAATAATTATTAATTATCCTCATTATAATTTATTTTGATTAAAAATAATTAATAATTATAAATTATCTTCATGATGAATTAATAATGAATAATTTTGTTAATTATAATTATAACTTTTATTCTGTTTGAAAAAAATTTTTTTTTCTATTTTATTTATGGAAATTTCATTGATAGGTTTATTTACCTCTTGTTTAAAGAGAAGGAAATTTTTATGAATGGAGAAGAAAGTATATAAAAGGTGCAAGAGTCAAAAAAGTCGGTTATCATTTTTGTATTTTATTTTCTGTTTTTTCTTCTTCTTCTTTTCTCTATCGTGGTCTCTTCTTATATACAAGGACCATTCATATGACGGTTAGTGAGTCTTTACTTATCAGAAATATTCGCACAGTGCCACATTCCACTTAATATAAACCATTTCGTCAGTCTTTATCGTGTATTCGTGCCTTCTAGTTCGCTCTGAATTCATTTTATAGCCATCCTTTTATTTTCATCTCAATTATTCATTCTCATCGTATCATTTACAACTAATAATCCCAAGAGTTACAATAAAAAAAAAATTTCTCTGAATGATTTTAAAGTTGTTAGTATATCTGTAAATCTTTCTTTCTTAAAATTTTAATATTTACTTTTTGTTAAAACGTTTTTTTTATATTTTGTAATAAATTGATTTTATTTCACTATAAAATAATAATCAAATTTTATTTATTTGTAAATATTTTTTTATTCTTATATGCTGGGTCATTGTAATAATTTTTTTTTATTATTTTGTTGAATTATTATTTATAATAATATTTATAAAATATTAATTATAATAATATTTCAAAAATATTATTATTTATAATAATATTTAAAAAATATTAATTATAATAATATTTAAAATATTTTTTAAATGTAGTATATTAACTTTAATAATGATATATTAATTTCGAAAAGAAGATTTAAATATTGTGTTTATTTTGCATATTTAAATGAAAAACATTTTTTTTTTTAAACAATAACATTGTATAATTTATGTTTCAGATTGCTCAATGTTGATGGACAACAACAGTAAATCAGTGCTTCTGATTTCGATTCTCATAAATGTTTCGTGAAACATTTTAACCTCTCAAAGTGTTCGGAAATTCGAGAAGTTTTTTTTTTTTTAAATTAAAAATTTAGTGCCATTTAAAGTTTTGAAAAAAGAGGAAACAGAAATCTGGTTAATAATTAACAGTTATTAACTAATATTTGATAAGTCATTTTTATTTCTTTTTTTTAAATAATTATAATTAATTATTTTAGTTTTTTAAAGTATAAGTATAAAAGTTTTTTAAAAAAATTTTTTTTGTTTCGCGTTGCCGGTATTTGGAAATTTTTCTTTTTTTTGTCTCTAAATCGTGAAATAATGTCGATTCAACCAAAATCATTTTTACCAAAAATTGTCGAAGTTGATGAGCCACCTTGTCGGCAGTCAAATTCTCCAATAACGTTTTTCTCGCCGATTACAAATATAGTGCGTGCTTTGAATAATTCCAACTTGATCTCTGATGATTCTCCAAAAAGTACACAAAGTCGTCTCGGCAAAAGTGCCGAAAAATTGAAGGGTGAGTTTTTGAACATTTTATTAAATAGATAATAATTTTACTGCATTTTGCTGTGAATATTTAGGTCAACGTTCAGTGTCGACAACAACGACAACAACAAATTTTGAAATTCACAAGTTGAATAAAAATTTCGAATAATTTTGAACCTGTGAAATTTTTCAAACTTTTTAAATGATATAGGTATTAAATTTAATTTTACTTTTGATAAGGAAAATTAAAATCTTTATACTATGCTTTCATAGTAAAATCTAAACTTTCTGAATTAAAAAATTGCGACTTTTTCGACCTTTTTTTTTTTTTTACAAATTTTGCGACAAATTACCACATGTTTAGTATAAATTGCAACTTATTTCGATTTTAATTAGTGTAAAAAGTATAATGGACAAATCTCACAAATAAAATTATTCTTAAATAATTTTTATAATTAAATTTTCGAAATATACAATTAAAAAGCTTCTGAATAATTGAAATTTTGTAAAATTTAATTGAAAATAATTGATTTTTTCAAGTATTTTATTATAAATTTTGAAAATCAATTTTTGAAGAATTTCAATTTGCAAAATTTTGAAAATAATTTAATTCTGAAAAATTTTAATGATAAATTTTCAAGTGTAAATTTAATAAAAATGAAAATTAATGAAAAAATTAGTTTCTAAAAATTATATTAAAATATTTTTGAAAAAAAGTAATTCTCAAAATTTACAAAATTACAAATTATTGCAGAAATTCAATTATTTTCAAAAGTAATAAAATTCTTGGCAAAAATTCAATTATGTTCAAAATTTTTTAAAAATTCTCGTCAAAATTTCAATTGTTTTTAGAAATAATAAAATTATTTTTCGAAATTAAATTATTTTCAAAAATTTTAATAAAGTTCTTGCAGGCTTCACAGTCTGTTTCCTATTTCCCTAAAAGTCCCCTTTTTTTAATTCTGGCCCCTAAACGTATCCTATTTTGAAAATTTCCCCTATTTTTTTCGTCGCAGAAAATCAATTATTTTCAATAATTTTTAAGTAATTCTGCAAAAGAATTCAATTATCTTGATAACCAACAAAATTCTCCCCATAAAATCAATTATTTTAAGGATTTTTAATGAAATTCTTTTCCAAAATTCAATTATTGGCAAAAATTTTAATTAAATTCTTGGCAAAATTTCAATTATTTAAACAAAATTTAATAAAATACTTTACACGAATTCAATTATTTTTATAAATAGCAAAATTTTTCGCCAAAAATTCAATTATTTTCAAAAATTTAAATAAAATTCTTTGCAACATTTCAATTATTTTTAAAAGTTTTTCGCAATTCAATGTTTTTCAATATTTTCTATTTTAATAAAATTTATCAACAGATTTATTTAATTATAAAAAAAACTTGTTGATACAATTCTACGAAAAGATTCAATTATTTTCATAAATAATAAAATTTCATTTACGAATTCAATTATTTTCATCGCAGAATTTCAAATATTTTTAATACAATTTTAAATAAATTCCTTGAAAAATGCAATTATTATTCAAAATTTTATTAAAACTTGAGGAAAGAATTCAATTTTAAGAAACATTCAATTATTTAATAAAACAATAAAATTCGTTGCAGTAATTCAAATATTTTCATAAATAACATTTAATTCGTTGCAGAAAATCAATTATTTTCAAAAATTTTTAAGTAATTTTGCAAAAAAATTCAATTAGGTTGATAAACAACAAAATCGCATAAATTCTTCCCATAAAATCAATTATTTTAAAGATTTTTAATAAAATTCTTTTCCAAAATTCAATTATTTTGATAAATATCAAAATTCTTCCCAAGAATTCAATTATTTTGAAAAGTAATAAAATACTTTGCAGAAATTAAATTATTTAAAAAATTTTTTAAAAATTCTCGTCAAGAATTAAATTATTTTTATAAATAGATAGGAAAATTCTACTCAAGAATTAAATTATTGTCAAAATTTTTTTTAAAATTCTTCTCAAGAAGTCAATTATTTTCAAAAATTTTAATAAAATTCTTCTCATGAATTCAATTGTTTTCAGAAATTATTAGGGGAACATAGTCTAGGTCGGCCACCTTTTTGACTTTTGTTTATAACTTTTTTTTAAAAATGAATTTGGACAATTGAAGTATATGGTTAGAAAGTCCTGTTTAATAGGAACATTTTTTCTGTACAAAGTAAATTGACAGGTTTAAAAATGAAAAAGTTATAAAGATTTAAAAAAAAAAAAATTTGTAGTCCAGGTTGGCCATTACAGTCAAGGTCGGCCATGTTTAAAATTCAAAGGGCATTAATCGTTAAAAAATAAAATAACATGTTTGGAGTTACGGAAAATTGATTCTTTATTGTTTACAGTTTGTAACTTAATGAAATAACAAAATAATAACAATAAACAATATAAAAAAATAAATATAAATAAAAAAAAGTTTTGCACTAAAATATTAATAAAATTAAATAAAAATATTAATAAGATGATCAATTATATTATGAGTTATACAGAATTGCAGTTTTTGCAAATGAAGTAGCTCGTCCTCAACTTTGCGCATTTTAAACACATAGTGGCCGACCTTGACAGTAAGTAACATTTTTGAATTGTTGTAACAATAAAGAAATACGTTTCGGGATTCGATTTTTTACTTTGTTTTCCTTTCAACCATGAGTCCCACAAATTTTCTGCATACTTGCCTTGACGATTCAATTTGTTTTTTATCTTTTATTAATGGTTTTTCACATTATGCACAAAACTTTTTTTGAGCTTTTTTTGTACCGACGTCACAGAAAACACAATTTTCGATTTTCCGAAAATGTAATTGAACAAAAAGTTAGGTTTCACTAAGACAAGCTTCGACAAAAATGCGCGTAGGTGGCGCTAGTGAACTTGACAAAAAAACGCGAGTGGCCTACCTAGACAGTAGGCCAACCTTGACTACATTCCCCTATTTAAATTCTTTTCAGGAATTCAATTATTTTTAAAAAATTTAATAAAATTCTTCAAAAAGTTTTCAATTATTTTCAAAAATTGTTATAAAATTCTTTAATTATAATAAATTTCATTAAAATTTTAATTAAATTCCTTAAAAGAAATTGAATATTTTCAAAAGTTAGTAAAATTCTTCGTAAAAATGAAATTTTAAGAAAAATTCAATATTATTTATTTTTGTATTGAAATAATTGATTTCTCGTAGAATTAAATTATTGTTTTTCGTACTTTTAACCAACAATTCTGTAGAATTAATTTTTTTGAAAAAGTTTAATTGAATAATAATTGATTTTATTGATTTAAAGTAGAATTTTAGTTAAAAATTCTATAAAAAGTTAATTAAATTGAAATGATACAAATAATTTTGAAGAAATTACAGTAACAATATTCTTATATTAATAAACTAATAATTTTATCAGTCGGTCATCTTTAATTATAAAACATGAAGAAATCGATCACTCCGAGTCGAAGACTCGGAGTTATCGATATCTTCATGTTTTATAATTTAATTTGTAAGAATTTAATGTAATTTGTAAGAATTTAATGTAATTTGTAAAAATTTAATTTAATTTGTAGTTTTAAGTAAAATGTTCTCTTATTTGACTCGAACTGATTATATTTTTGTCAGTAATTTTTCATTTTTGTTCCGTAAAGTCCGTATTTTTAAATACTTTCACTGGTTCGAGCCCTGCTGTAGAAAAAAATCACAAAAGCGATTAAAAAGTACTTTCACTTTTTGTAATGATAATTTAAAACAATGTATTTACAAAAAAAATTTGAATAATCCCCTTGTAATTTGAATGAGGGTTTGAAAGTATAGAATGGAAATAAATTTTTGTAAAAGTATATAAATATGAGTTAAAAAAAAGCATATAGAGAGGAGGATGAAGAAGGCCCCGAATGTGTCTCGACATTCGGGACGGGTTACATCACTAGAGTGGGGAGATGGGTCCGGGGGTGTGAACCGAGAGGGATTCCCCCGGCCTTGAATCTTTCCCTGGCGTCTGCTTTTGATTATTTATGTATACACACATGCTTTAAAATTCAGCGATTCTCATTTCATTCCGTTGTAATAATTTATTAGTAAATTCATTTCAAGTGTTTTTTTTTATCAATTATTCAAAAAATTTAACAATTAGAAATAATTAAATTTACATTTAGTTTCAAAAATTGATATACCCGTTTTGTTATACAAATAATGTTACATCTAAACGCAATATTTGAATTAGTAAAAATAATTAATTTGAATTATAGTAAATTTTACTAATAAACCTGTAATTTCTACTATTAGTAAAATTTACCAAATTTGAAAGCAAACATTTAGGCACTAATTTAAATTAGTAAAACTTTTTACTAATTCAAATTTAGAGAGTTTAATTACAATTAATAATTGAATTTTATTATTATTATTATTTTATTATTATTTATTATTTAATTAAAAATTTAATTTAGTTTTAATTAATAATTAATTTCGGTACAATTATTAATATTCAATTGTTTATAGTAATTAATTAATTAATATTAGCATTTAGTTTTTAATTACATTTATAAAAATTCTGATTTTGGAAGAATGTGTAAAGGTATACGAGCAGTATATATAAGCATTTGTCAGCGACATGATTTGTTTTAAGAAAAATATTCATCTCTCTTTGAAATTAATTGCGACATTAGTTTGTGCGGACAAAATGAGAGGACCGCACAATAAGAAGAAGGGGTTGACAATATTAATGTAGTGACCAACGGGAACTAATTGCGTTCATTAATCCTGAAATTCATTTCGAAAAATATTCATTTCAAGAAAGGGATTATGTATTTTTTTGTGTTATATAAATATATTCAATGACAATCAATTGCCACCCCAATAATTTTTCATGGATGAAATTTATTATAATAATTTTTTGCGCCTGAAGTGGTTTGAGCACCCCTTGGGATGTGAATTGCGCGTAGCTCGTGCCAGGGTTGGACCAGGTGTTCACCTGCCCTTACGTTAGGTGCGCTCCCTCTTTTCTATTGTCGTACATCTCT